GAAATTATTTACATGTTCACAAAATATAATACATTTCAAGCTTAGCATGCAACATACACCATTGCAACATGCAACCTGCAATATACAACATACAATATGCAACATGCAACATGCAACATGCAACATGCAATAGGCAACAGGCAACATGCAACAGGCAACATGCAACAAAACCTTCACCAACTATTTTGAAATAGTACCATATTAATGACAGCTATAATAGCAGTTGTAACTCAGGATATTTATTTTCGGTCACTTAGATCACTTTAAAGTGTAAAATTCGTGAGTTGCCACACCCAACTTAACAAGAAACTGATACCCAGCAGGGGTCATTTTCAAAATTTCTGATAACCATCCCTGCTATTCTATTTATTTAAGTATCCCCCCCCCCAGGTCACCTTATGTTATTTATTCTTGATGGTTTGTCTTGCATTCAGCTGTTTCAGGGGGATAAACAACAAGTCACAAAACAACAACAGGTACGTTACTCAATATTGTCACTAATCTTGAACACCTTAGAAATTAATATTGTCAATATCCAGTTGATCCCATCATCTTACAGTGTGAATCGAAAAACCGTGGGCACCTAGAAATATTCTAGGAATGTCCTATTCTTCTTTGGCCAATCAGAATCGACTTTCTAACCGCAAGATAATGCAAAGATAACAATAACGCTTCTGATTGAATTGGCTATTACTGTCATTTGCATTCCTACGCGGCCACCCCAGACAAAAATTGCAACGTGCACTTTGCAATAGACTGCTGTCAATCAAACACATTGACGTCATTTACACGAGTGTGGGATTCAAAAGGAGCCAAAACTTGTAGATTGTTTACAAGTATTATGAGCCACACTCACCGGGCCAATCCAACTGCGTGTAAATGACGTCAAAGTGTTTGATTGACTGCAAGCTATTGCAAAGTGCACGTATGGATTTTGTCTGGGGTGGCCACGTAGCAATGCAAACGAAGGTAAATATTCTTGAAATATTTCTAAGTGCCCAAGGTTTTTTGTTTCGCACTGTAAATTATAGAATTTCTTACTGAAAATAGATTTTTAATAACTTAAGAGATAAGTTTCTATTATTTTGTCAACAATGTCAGGTAGAAAGAGTTTTAAACAGGACACGCCCATGTTTCTAGTAACTTTAGAATTTTCTGTTTTTCTGGGTTAGCCTCAAAATTTTTGTAACATTTTCATTTTTTCCAGTGAAGGTATTTGGAATTTTATGTGTTGTGAAAGTACTACATTGTTTACTTTATTGTTGGTATTATTTTGTGAATGTGTAGTCCAGAAATAAACCATACCCTCCCCATGGAGGAAGACCCCCCTACCCCAGAAATTTTTCCTCTGACCCACCACCCCCTTGGAAATTCCAAATTCCTCTGTGGGGGTATGGATAATCTCTGGAGCTACACAATACACCTAATTAAAAAACGTTGGGTTCAAAAAAAGGTTATATCATCAAAGCTAAGACCGAAGGGGAGCATGGGAAGACAAACAATTATGCTAATTTCATGCGTATTGCAGTTTTCCCTTCCTGTGCACATTTTATGAATCATGGTTTTGGCATGTTGTTTATCTAGGTCGACCGACTTTGCTCTACTGTGCATTTTTACATGTCTATATGCAAATATAATACATATTTCGGAGTACCCAGAATCCTTTTCGGTCTTAGCTTTGATGATATGACCTCCTCGAACCCGACTACGTTTTTCAATTAGGTGTATATATGATTCTGAAATAAGGTTAAGCCTGAGTAAATGAGTCTGTAATAAAGAAGCACAGTTATTGCAATATTTCATGGATTCAGAAAGGTGTCTTTGATTTCTGTTTTATTGTAGGACTCACCTCAAAAAGGCTCCCACCAACCGGTATCTGTTTCCACATCTCTTTTATCTCCTATGGCCTTTAAAACAATGGCAAAAACAACAACAACAACGACCACTACACCTGACCCTCAACCAAAATCGACACCGCAGAAACTGGACATATCTCCATTAACCCAGGAACAGTTATTACAGGCTATGATGTATTTAATGAAGGTAGGTTTAGATTAACTGGACATATCTCCATTA